ATATTTTTAAAATAGATACGACGGCGTTTCAAAAACGTCGCTAAATATTGTTGGTGACGTCAGCGTGTGTGGTGGGACATTTGGCGGCGTTTTAAAAAACGCCGCCTGTACTAATATCACGACGTTTTTAAAACGTCGCAAAGCTACAGCGACGGCCACAGCTTCGACGTTTGGTACTAAACGCCACAAAAGGAATTAGGGGCGTTTTTTATACATATGGAGGCGTTTTTTAAACGCCGCTAAAAGTGCAATTTCCAGCAGTGACAGTAGTGGTGAAGAAGAAGAACAGCAAATGGAGGGTTTGCGTAGACTTTACCAGCCTCAACAAAGCCTGCCCCAAAGACAGCTTTCCTCTGCCCAAGATTGACCAGCTAGTAGATGCAACTTCAGGGCATGAAAGGATGAGTTTTTTGGATGCATACAGAGGGTACCACCAGATTGCCATGTACCCTCCAGACGCTGAGAAAACCGCGTTCATCACCCCTAAAGGACTATACTGTTACAAGGTAATGCCTTTTGGGTTGAAAAACGCAGGAGCAACTTACCAAAGGCTAGTAACAAAAATGTTCAAACACCTGATTGGTAAAACGGTAGAAGTCTACATCGATGACATGGTCATGAAGACCAAGGAATCTAAGGGTCATCTTGCCGACCTAAAAGACGTCTTTGATATATTCAAAACATATCGGCTCCGACTTAATGCGTTAAAGTGCGCGTTTGGAGTTAGATCAGGTAAGTTTTTAGGGTATCTGGTAACGAGAAAGGGCATTGAGGCCAGCCCAAACCAAATCAAGGCCATTCTAGAGCTACAGAGCCCGATGTCGGCAAAACTGGTTCAGATGCTTACCGGAAGGACCGCAGCCCTAAACAGATTCATCAGCAGAAGCTCAAATAAATGCAGACCCTTCTTCAACTTGGTGAAAAAAGCCACAGACTTTCTATGGACAGAAGAATGCGAAGCCGCTTTAACCGACCTAAAGAAGTACTTGACCACGACTCCGGTTCTTTCCAATCCAGAACCAGGGGAAGAACTATATTTGTACTTGGCAGTTTTAGAACACGCCGTCAGTGCAGTACTAATTCGAGAAGAAAAAGGGGAGCAAAAGGCTGTTTACTATGTAAGCAAAACTCTGGCCAGCGCAGAAACAAGGTATCTACCACTGGATAAATTAATGCTAGCCTTAGTAATGGCTTCAAAGAAGCTGAACCATTACTTTCAGGCACATAAAATTGTGGTCTTAATAGAGCATCCATTGAAGTCCTTATTACAGCAAGGAGACTTAACAGGAAGGATAGCAAGATGGGCCGTAGCCCTAGGTCAGTATGATCTGGAGTTCAGGCCGAGAACAGCGATTAAAGGCCAAGTTTTGGCCGACTTCGTGGCAAAATTCACCCCCGAAACCACCGAACATCAAGCTCCGTTGAGCCAGGATGAGCATTGTCCCAGCAAGCAAGGAGAATCTCAGCCAAAGACCAAAGAGCAAAGGAAGGAAAAACTCAGACCCTGTAGCATCTACATTGGCGACTCATTCAGACTGTTTGTCGATGGAAGTTCAAACTGACAAGGCGCAGGGGCAGGAGTACTGCTGATATCTCCAGATGGAGAAATAATAGAACAATCCATCCGTTTGGGGTTCAAGGCCTCAAACAATGAAGCGGAATACGAAGCATTAATTGCAGGGCTAAAACTGGCAGCAGCAGCAGAAGCAGATGAGGTAATAGTTTTTTGTGATTCACAACTTATTGTTAACCAGTCCACAGGTGAATTTGCAGCCAGGGACGAAAGGATGTCGGCATATGCAAAAGAGGTCATCAGATTGGCAGCCCTATTTCAGAATTGCCGACTATTCCAAGTTAGCCGAGATGACAACACCCACGCCGACGCGTTGGCTAACCTGGCAAGTTCAATACAGACTGGAAAAACAAGGACAATTATGATCGACTATATGTCGGGCCCGAGCATAGAAAAAAAGAACACAGAGCAGCAAGCAATGTGTGTGGACATGGGGCCAAGCTGGATGGATGCAATTGTTGCATTCCTGAAAAAAGGAAAGCTACCAGAAGATCGTAAGGAGGCACACAAAGTCAGGCTGAAATCGGCAAGATTCTGTCTGACAGAAGATGGACACCTCTACAGAAGGTCCTTCACTGGACCACTTTTAAGGTGCATACACCCTTTACAGGTTGAAGATTTCCTGTATGAAATTCATAAAGGAATTTGTGGAAGCCATACTGGGGGCAGATCATTAGCCCACAGGGCCATTACCCAGGGGTATTGGTGGCCCTACATGTAGAAGGATGCTGAAGCCTACGTAAAGAAGTGTGAACAATGCCAAAAGTTTGCACCTTTGATACATCATCCAGCTGCTGACCTAAACCCAGTATCCAGCCCTTGGCCGTTTGCCCAATGGGGCATGGATCTGGTTGGGAAACTTCCCCAGGCAACTGGGCAAGGAAAATACTTGCTGGTGGCAACAGATTACTTTACAAAATGGATAGAGGCAGAACCTCTTGCCAAAATCCGTGATGTAGACATCAAGAACTTTATATGGAGAAACATCATCACCGGATTTGGGATTCTAAGAGCAATAGTTGCCGACAACGGAACACAGTTTGACAGCAAACTCATCAAGAACTTTTATACGAAATTCAAGATCAAAAATTACTTTTCAACACCAAGTTTTTCCCAAAGTAATGGGCAAGCAGAAGCATCCAACAAAGTAATTTTGGATGGAATAAAGAAGTGGCTGCAGGCAGCAAAAGGAAAGTGGGTAGACGAATTGCCCAACGTGCTTTGGGCATATCGAACTACGCCGAGAAGATCAACAGGGGAATCCCCCTTTGCCATGGCTTATGGCACAGAAGCAGTCATCCCATTAGAGATCAGCATCCCAGGGATCAGGACCCAGGGAGTAGAGAATGGCACCAATGACATACTCTTGGCCCGAGATCTAGATCTTCTGGAACAACGAAGAGAAAAAGATGCAATTCAGCTAGCAGTATACCAGCAACAGCTTGCCAGAGCTTACAACAAGAAGGTTAATCCGAGAGAATTTCAAGTCGGCGACCTAGTCTTGAGAAAAGTCGTCGGCAACAAGAAGGATCCCAGAGAGGGAAAGCTTGGTCCAAACTGGGAAGGACCCTACAGAATTACTTCAGTATTAGGCAATGAAGCTTATCGGCTTAAAGATAACGAGGGCAAAGCACTGCCAAGACCTTGGAACACTTGTAATTTGAAATTTTTCTATCATTAGATGTGTATTATTTTTTGGCCGATGTCATCAATAAAGTTTTTTCAGAGTTCTTTCAACACATATGACTAATAAAATTACATATTCTTTGGAGACATGAATAATGAGAACCCAAGTAGAACTCAGGTTCACATTGGGGGCAGGGAGAACAAGAATGCGTTTACCACTTGTTAAAATTTGTAGCAATTTACAAGTTTGTTAAACCGAGATGATGCTTAACCGAAGTTAAGCCGAGATTATTCCTTAATTCACTTGTTGAAATTTGTAGCAATTTACAAGTTGGAATTAAGCTGATTCCTTATCTTCACTTGTTGAAATTTGTAGCACTTTACAAGTTGAAGTTAAGCCGAGATTACTGCTTCTCTTCGCTTGTTGAAATTTGTAGCAATTTACAAGTTGAAGTGATGCCGAGGTTATTGCTTAAGCCCTTATAGCAATATATAGGTTGTCTAAACCAACGGAAGATGATTAACGCTTGTTGAAATTTGTAGCAATTTACAAGCTGATGTTAAGCCAACATATGATCATCCGTTGAAATTTGCAGCAATTTACAGGTTGGAGTAAAAGCTAAGTATATTGTTTAAACACTTGTTGAAATTTGTAGCAATTTACAAGTAGATCATTATTTAAACACTTGTTATAGCTTGAGAACAGTTTACAGTATATGTTAACACTTGTTGAAATTTGTAGCAATTTACAAGTAGGTTAGATCGAGATCACTGTTTACATACTTGTTAAAATTTGAGAAGAAGCTTGCAAAGTTAACATTCAGTAGTATATGTTTCACACTTGTTAAAATCTATGACAAGTTTGCAGGACAGTATCTTGCCGAAGTAAAGCTTGTAGTTATTATACCCGAGGTATGTTACCCCGAGAAGATTGCACAAAGGTGACGAGATATGAAAAGCGTGCAACACATGCTAAGTATAGAATCACACAAAAGTAATCTAGAGAAAATAAAAAATTGAAGCATTCAGAGGAAAACAGTTGTAGTTGTATACACACATCGGCCATAAGAGGGAGCTTACATTATCCAGAAATTGAAACAAAGTGCAAAGTACAAAAAAAGGAAAGATATCAAAGTTGTGATTCCTCAGCCCCAGGAGCAGTTTGGGTCTGGACCTCGGAAGTTTCTTGCAAAACCACTTCGGCAACCTTCTCTGCCGCCAGCTCGGCGTCAATCTCTGCTATTGTTTTATCAAGACTTCTTTCAGCCAGAAGAAGGTCGGATGATAGCTGCCCTGGAACAGCCTCGTTGGACACCTCCTCAAGCCCACCATCCTCTTCATCTTGAGTTAAGTTGATGACCTGCTCAGTGGAAGGAAAGGACTTGGCTTCAGCAGCATCCTTGGATTTTCTCACTAGGGCCTCATCATCATTGTTGTTTTCATCCTCAGCCTTAGACTCTGATTCATCTTCAGCTTGGCTTGGAGGTGGAGGTGGAGGAAATGGGAGAGGAATAACATCGGCATTGCGGAAAGGCGAGTCAACAGGGAGATCAAGTTTTTTTTATCAGGGACATCCAACCAAGGGAAAATCCCCTGTTGCATGCCTGCCTGACTTGAAGCTTGTAATCCTCAGTGACGTCGGCCACACCCTGAGCATAAGCCTTCTCATCAGCCTCTTTGATTTCGGCTTCCTTTGCGGCCAAGGCTTCCTGAAGCTTCTTCTCGGCTTGGGCCGCTCTGCTTCCTTTGTGGCCAAGGCTTCGTGAAGTTCCTTCTCGGCCTGGGCCGCTCTTCCCTCGGCCTCTTTCTTTTGGGATTCAGCAACTGTCTTGATGGCCTCAGCAGATTCAGCCTTTTCCTCGGCTAAGGTTTGGGCTTTGGTGGCAGCCTTGGCCTGATCCTCCAATTTTTTCATCTTTAATTCAAGAGATTTATTCTCCTTTTTGAGGGAAGAAACCTCCCTCCTCAGGTCGACCAGCTTTTCTCGATTCTGGAAAGATTGCATTGAAAATGAGTGGGTATGCTGGATGGCCTGAAAGAAAACAGAAGTGTTAGAAAATATTTTTAAGTACAAAACAGAATAGAAGAAAAAGTACTAAGCAGGAACGCTTACTTGAACAGAGTGCTGGAGCATTAGGGCATAGTTCTCATATTCACTATACCCGGCATTCCGCTCCAAATCACCAGAAAGGAGCAGCGCCGTAGAAAGGGCAACGCCGACATTCATGTCATCGGCGCTTTCATTGGTCATTATGGGCCTATCTTCCAGAGTAATCTGGGGAGCCCAAGGAACATCAGATTTTTTGGACCCCGAGGTCGTCGTCTGAGTTGATTCTAATGGCTGGGATTCTGCACGCCTCTTCCCAGCGAAAGGTTGAGATTTGCTGCTTTCAGCCAGCTTGGAGATGGGTAAAGCATCGTCAGCCTCAACCTCAGTAGCCTTGGTCTTAGGCTGGGCCTTCTTGATTTTTCTTGGCTTCAGTGGGGGCGTAGGTTGTGTCGGAACAGCATCGACATCGGTTGGAAGATCGGCTAGGAGATCTTGGGCGACAGCTTTGGCAGAACCATCTCGGCAGTTTTTACGAGTCTTCATCGACGTTTTCTTTCTGGTATTGGGATTAGGTATGGGGCAGAAGTTGATGGTTGGCCGGCTGGATCAGAGGTTGACCCTTGGTCAGCCTGAGATGCTGATGCTGTTTGAAGAGTAGTAGCAGAGGGAGGAGATAGGCTCTTCTTCTTTCTTTTTGGCACGTCGGGCAAAGTTGATTTGTACGTTGGAATAAAGTTCAGCACCAGTGGAGCCTTGTGCCTCTGGATGGGAAGATCTAGGAGCTTTTTCAGGTCTTTGCCTGGGAAGTATGACTGACGAAAGTTTTTTGGTGGCTGATGAAGATCTGCAGGACAAACAAACAGACATTAGAAACAGACAAAGTTTTGAAGACTTGAAAAGAAACAACTAGGTATTGACGCTGGGCTCTTACCCTTGCCCTCTTTAACTGTTCGAAGAAGAGGGTAGAGGTGAACATCTTCGTCTGGGCCAAATTCCCAACTTCCCGAAGCAATAACAAAGTCATCCCCGGCTCCCTTGTTGGAGTCTGGGAGGTCGGCTACAATTTTGAACTCGGTGGACCTTGGCTTGAGGTAGTAGACGTAACCTTTTTCCTTCAGGTTAAGTGGACACATGGTATAACAATATTGTATATCGACAAGGGTGATTCTAATATTTTCTTGTCTAGCTAAGGCGATGATACCAAAAATCACTCGATAAGAGTTTATGGCAAGGTGCATAGGGTTCAACCTATAGTAGTGGAGAACTTCGCGAAAAAAGGGATTAAGTGGAAGCCGAAGTCCACATTCAGTAAAGGCTACAATAGGAAAGGGCATCATATGATCTGTGGGCATGATGGAATCGTCATCCCCAGCTAGCCTGAGGTGAACATCGGTAGGGATGGAAAACTCCTGCCTTTAGTATTCGAGTTTGGTTGGGGTGTTTACCCTATGTCTCCACATACCCATAACGTCGGCCTAAGTTCAGAAGGCTAGGTTTCAGAAAGAAGGCGCTCTTAAAGGGTTATTGGAACCTCGGCAAAGCCCTAGGTAAGGACTGATAAGGTTTGTTTCAGTTTTCCCTAAAAATTAAAGGTTCTATAGACAAATCCCAAACCTAAAACTATGAAGGCAAAGATTGAAAAGCAAGAATTAAAGATAGAGATCTGGAAAGAAAAAACAGAAAACAAGAAACACAGAATGACGTTTCAGAATCAACGAATAGAGGTATGGTTCTCAAAAGGGAAAGAAATACAGAAGTAAACAAGTCAAGAACAGTGGCAAGAAAAGTGTTGAAATAGTGCAAGTGTTCAAGATATGAGCAAAATCATGGAACAAACACATCCAGATGAACAATCCAAGGTTTGAACAAAACAAAAATGGCAGCAAGTAAACGAAAGCGCATAGAAGAAATTGGGAATAAGAGGAACGAAATCTTACCAGAACAAATGGAGCTGGAATGAAAGTCGCCGAGGTAGGGCAACGATTGCAGACACAACAGAGCGGCGAACGCTTCACTGAAATGGAGGAATGAAGACGGTTGTAGAGCTTGGAGTTAGAACAATAGTGGATTTGAGAAAGTTTAGAGAGAGAGAGCCAGAAATTCAAATGCATAAAGTAAAGGAGAGAAGACAGAAAGAAAGGTTTTATTAAAAACTTGAAACGGCGGCAAAACAGGGTATTTATTACGCTTGGAGGAACGCGTGCGTCAGACGGTGCAGACGGAGGTAAGACGGCTTACAGGCGCGTCACGGACACGGGCCAATAAGGATATAACGCGTGAGTAAAACGGTTGAAAATTGATGTATGACAGCTCATACGCATGAAGGGATTCATTTGAATTCTTGTTCTCCGAAGAGAACACGTCGGCTTGAAATGAATAATCTCGGCTAAACAGTTTGTTGAGCCAAATATGCAGAAAGGAATATCGATATAGGTTCCCTCACCTCAGTGCCGAGGTAATAGAACCTAGGGGGTAGTTGTGGGGATATATTTTCTGAGTACCAACACGTGGTATGGTGACACCGACGTGTCAGCCGAGGTGCTACGTATTGTGGTAGTTACGCCGAGGTGATCTCGGAGTTGCCGAGGTTATCTCCGAAGATATCAGAATCCGAGATAAGCGGATAAGGGACAAGAGTCCTAGGACAAAGAGGAGACTTAGTCAAGATAAGGATAAAGCTCATAGGGAGTTTATCTTTATCTCTTGAGGAATCCAAAGTAAGCACTGAATTGGAGTTCATAGAAGTCATGCTTCTAGTGGGACTTGGATTGAGTAAACTATAAAAGAGAGGCACTCCCGTGGGTCTAAGGTACGCAATTTATGTTTTGAGCATTAATTTTAGCACTTGATTATCTTCGAGAGAAATACTGACTTGATCGTCGGAGTGCCCCCGGGTGGAAGAACCACCGCCGGAGCCTTTTCTTTCTGTTACAGGTTACCTGAAACCATCTACTCTGCCAGTGCTCTCCAGTTGATTACTAAGCGGGCAGTGCGGTCAGAAAATCACCCACACAGAAACTCAAAGGAGAAGTTCAAGAAGAGGCGAGAGAGAGAGTGTGTTCCTCTGATGATTACCTCCCCCTTTTATACACGTTCTGCCCTCAGTATTAGAAGCCTACAAAATCTCCTAAAAATATTCTAAATGTTATCCTGAAATAACAATATCCAAGTCTGACTAATCAAAGAAGATATTAAAAATAAAATAAAGTCCTAATATAACTAGGAAAGTGGTGTTTACAGCTGGAAATTTCGTGCACCAGCTCTGAAAAGTTTCAGCAAATAAACCGCGTCAGATTCGCGTACTAGAAACGATCTGGAACGTCAACAGTGCAGGTGCAGCAACTTCAAGCCCGATTTCGACCTTGATGCAGCTAGTATCTCTCAAAACTCGAAACATGAAAGTTGTAGAGCTTTTTCTTGGTGTTCCATAGCATCTTGGATCATCTCAATCAGATCTTGGATGAGAGAGTTATTCCCAGATTACAAAGCGATGTCGAAACTGTCCAAATCGCCCAATTAGCTTGGTTTTGCATTTATCGCCTCCATTTGCTTCCTAAATCAAAATATAAGAATAATGAGTACATTTAGGCACCAAATAAGTATAAAAGACTAAACATTAAGCGAGAAAAATATGACATTTTGCATTCTCATCAAATTCCCCCACACTTCGACAAAACTCAAATTCACTTTCCCAAGAACACACACCCAGGTTGAAATGCCATCAACAAAGAACCACCAAGCTCTTCAAAACTCATAACATATCATGAACAAACATTCTTAAACAACTTACAATTACTTAGTAAACATTTTCACTCGAAGATAGAGTAAACTAAATACGTAGACCTTCACAAAAATAAATACTTGACTCTCATGTTTTTGAAGGGTATGTGTTTCGCTCAAATTCATTCCAAAGGGAATGATCTACCATAGGCTTGCATATCTTCTCATTCTCCACCACTGGGATCACATGCATAACATGAATCATAAGGACTTTTCAAGGGTTGTAACAGGGTTTACGATCAAGGCAGGAAATATTTGGGAGTGTTGCTCAAAGGCCATCGAAACTAGTGGAGCAAAAATGAATTAACTCAAGCTCGAATATATAGGACATGTAAAACCAATCACTCCATTCAGCAGCTTCTTCAATTTGGCTTTAAGGCATTTAAACCATGTAAAACTCCTATAGTGAAAAAGAGATCGTTCAAAAAGAACACTTTTTTTGTTTGCAGCAGGGAACGATCCTTCACAGCAGCTCATACCTTGTAAATATCATGTATAAACAGACCCCTTTATTGGAATTTTAGGAGGAATTTTGAAGATGGACAGTTTGTAATATCAGAAACAATTTCCTCCATCACTTCCTTTCCCCCCCCCCTCTTCTTTTGACAAACTTTTAAAAAAAAAAAAAAAAAAAAAACAAACACACGAGTTGAGAATGAGAGTATGTTCCATTTCTCCAGTCATAGCCATACCACAAATCCAGACACCCCATAACTTGCACACCCATATATATCATAATGATGAACAATGCTCCACTAGCTTTACGACTTGGGTAATAAACAAATAAATAAATAAATAAATAAAGCTCAAAGGGGTTCAACAAAGGAAAAAATTAATTACAAGGTAGGCTATTTGGCTTATGTAGCTTATAACAAAGAGGGCCTTAATCATGTTTATGCATGCATGTGTCAATATGACCTCGAAGAGAATCAAGGCAAGTTCTAGAGAAACAAATCCATGGAAAAATATCCCTCATGAAAGAACATAGTGAGACTGATATGGTTGCATCACTTTAAAGGCTCAAAATCTCACCGGCTTTTGTCTACCAAATTTAGTCACTACCATTCTCAAGGAAAATAACTAGACTAATTAATTCTAAGCTGGAAGATTACTTATTCAATCATGTTATGAATTGTTGAAGCTTAATTGAATATTGCTCATGACATACACAACCAAAAAAAAAAAATGTTGAAAACCATAAAAACAAAAAGCAAAACTCTTTTTTTTTTTTGAATATTGCTCATGACATACACAACCAAAAAAAAAAAATGTTGAAAACAAAAAAAAAAAAAAAAAAAAGCAAAAGGTTTTTTCCCTTTTTTTTTTTGTTTTTTTTTTTTAAAAAAAACAAAATTAAAACAACCTAAATCCCCTCCCCCACACTTCAAACTTACATTGTCCCCAATGTAAGGTGAAATGCAAAGAAAAGGCAAAAATAACCAAAATATAAATGCGAGAATTAAGAAAACGAACTCCCTTGGGTTGCCTCCCAACCTGCGCCTTTCTGCTTCAATTAGTATAAATTGGGTCCTCAAGGTCCAATTGTTCCACATTCTGTACTTGGAAGCCTTCATAGAAAGTCTTAAGTCTATGGCCATTCACCTTGAACATTTTGGAAGTTGCTAAACTTTGAATTTCAACTGCATCATGAGGAAAAACATTAGTAACTACAAAAGGTCCAATCCAACGAGAACGTAACTTGCCTGGAAACAAACGAAGCCGCGAATGGTATAGAAGAACTTTTTGACCAACATTAAATTCCTTCCTAGAGATCATCTTATCGTGAAAAGCCTTCGTCTTTTCCTTGTAAATCATTGCATTCTCATAGGCATCATTGCGAATTTCCTTTAACTCTTGTAGTTGCAACTTCCTGTGTTCTCCACTGTCATCCATTTTCATGTTGAAACTCTTAATAGCCCAATAAGCCGTATGTTCTAACTCAACTGGAAGCTGACATGGTTTCCCAAACACCAACCGATAAGGTGACATACCAATGGGTTTTATATGCACTCCTATACGCCCACAAAGCATCATCCAGGTGCAAACTCCAATCTTTTCTAGTTGGATTGATGGTCTTTTCAATGATGGACTTGATCTCTCGATTTGACACTTCCGCTTGTCCACTAGTTTGCGGATGATAGGCAGTTGACACCTTATGGGTCACATGATACTTTCTTAGCAAAGTCTCCACAGTTCAATTGCAAAAGTGAGTGCCTCGATCACTTATTAGAGCTCGTGGAATTCCAAACCTAGAGAATATGTTAGACTTGATAAACTTTGAAACAACTTTAGAATCATCAGTCCTGGTAGCTTTAGCTTCCATCCATTTCGAGACATAATCAACAGCAAGCAAAATATAAACATAACCGAAAGAGACAAGGAACAGTCCCATGAAATCAATGCCCCAAACATCAAAAAATTCACAAAATAGTATTGGGGTTTGTGGCATCTCATTCCTTTGGGATATATTACCTGTCTTTTGACAAGGATCGCACGACTTACAAAAAGAATATGAATCTCGGAATAAAGAAGGCCAATAGAAACCACATTCTAGCACTTTTCTCGCCGTCCTCTTAGCTCCAAAGTGACCTCCACAAGCATAAGAATGACAAAAGGTGAGAATAGAAATAATTTCATTTTCAGGAACGCACCTTCTTATCACTTGATCTGCACAATGCTTCCATAAGTATGGGTCATCCCACGCATAGTATTTAGCATCACTCTTGATCTTATCTCTTTGAGCCTTAGACAAACTAGGAGGGAACATATTAGTAACCAAATAATTTACCATATTTTCATACCAAGGTAGTGTCACATTCGCGGAGAACAATTGCTCGTCAGGGAACGTTTCTTGCAAACGAAGTTCATCCTCCACATGAACTAAACGACTCAAATGATCTGCAACACGATTTTCTATCCCTCTTTTGTCTTTGATCTCCAAATCAAATTCACTCAAGAGAAGTATCCATCTTATTAATCTTGGTTTTGCCTCTTTCTTCATCATCAAATAACGAAGAGTTGCATGATCAGAATAAACAATGATTTTAGTACCAAGCAAATAAGATCGAAACTTTTCTAAAGCGAAAACAACAGCTAAAAGTTCTTTTTCAGTAGTAGAGTAATTTCTCTGGGCATCATTCAAAGTCTTTGAAGCATAATAAATAGCATGAGAAGCTTTTCCAATTCTTTGACCTAAAACAGCGCCTACTGCATAATCACTTGCATCGCACATTATCTCGAAAGGAACGTTCCAGTTAGGAGGCTAGATAACAGGGGTAGAAGTCAACAGTTCCTTCAGCTTATCAAACGCCTTTTTACAAGCCTCATTGAGCTCAAAAGTTGTATCCTTTTGTAACAACCTACATAGTGGTAATGCTATTTTGGAGAAGTCCTTGATGAATCTTCGGTAAAAACCTGCATGTCCAAGAAAAGAACGGAATTCCCGCACACTAGTGGGATAAGGTAAAGATTGAATAATGTCAACTTTGGCTTTATCTACCTCAATTCCCCTAGATGAGACAACATGACCCAAAACTATACCTTGTTCAACCATAAAATGACATTTTTCAGAATTTAATACAAGGTTAGTTTCTATGCATCTTTGAAGAACAAATGTAAGATTATGCAAACAATTATCAAAGGAGTCTCCATAAACTGTGAAAATCATCCATAAAGACTTCTATGATATGCTCAATATAATCTAAAAATATGCTAACCATACACCTTTGGAAAGTGGCTGGGGCATTGCAAAGGCCAAAGGGCATGCGGCGATATGCAAAA